ATCTACCCTATAATAGGTATAGAAGGAATAGTAGTTATAGGTTATTTAATAAGTACAGGTTAAATAAGTAATAATATCATATAGATTATAAAGCAAGTATCATATAATGAATAGACAGGATAGACAAGCTATTCAGGCTATCCATAAATAAATAAAATAAATAATCTATTTAAGCTATTTAAATAAGAATAAAGGTTTATATAAGAGAATAAGTTTTATTATAATATAAAGCTTTATGCTCAAGAATAATCATTAGTTTTATTATTATAATTACGAGAATTGTAATTAATTATAACCTTATTGAATTCCTACTTAAAGTCTAGTCTAAACTATTTCGAGAGATCTCTAGCCACTTCTATATAACCTTAGAGGCAGCTCCCGTAACAATATGATTCTAATTGAATAAGGTAGATGGGAAAAGGAAATAAAAACCCACCCCCCCCCCCGAACTTCCCTATTAAGACCCACGGGCAACCTCCCGAGCAGTCCTTTCAAGTTGATAAAATATATATTGAAAAAGAAAAGAATGAATTGAAATGAAAGTGATCTACTTACTAATATGATCTACTTACTAATAAAACACATTACTTCTACTTTTACACTAGAGTAAGCCCGGTCTCAATAAGCTAAACTAAATTAGGTACTAATGCTAACTGTCACACGTTCCGCGCTACTACTCTATGATTGGTCAATGAAGCTCATAAGCTGACCATCATTAGACTTACTATACTTTCACTAAGTTAATAATAATAACAATAATAACAATAACATAGACATTTCCTACCTACCTGGGCAAAACTACCCAGGTGTCTGCCCAGCTGCTGTAAAAATTCACAATTTATACCTTTGATTATGCAACTTTTTTAACACACTCTAATATCTAATAAAATACGAACAAATCTGCAATCTGCAAAGAATTGACACCCACCACCGAAATACTATCACCCTGTTGTCTCACAGGTTCTTTCCTCTAATCAAGCGCAACTCACAGTTTCCTGTGTTCAACCAGGTATATCTTCCATATGCGCCCCTTACACTACATCCATTCGCATTCAGTTCAATTCTATCATCTGCTCATGTGCAAATGATTCGGCATCTGTCCTGCTCATAAATGCTAATTGTTCACGATTTGAAAGCAGATACTCAACGTTGGTTATCACAAACCGACGGCCCTCCAGGTCACTACAACTTCCCACCAGGAACCATCATCATGAAGTTTGGCGAGCAACTCCGATCAAGTGTGATCAAAGAGTACCAATGGTACTATATTGCGTACGATGAGCTGAAGGAGAAGCTCAAGATTCCTTACGATACCGCATCGACGAAAAATAAGTCGAATTCGAAAGGAGAAAAATGGACCGAGGCAAATGAAAGAGAGTTCATTGATCTTATGGAGGCAGAGTTGGACAAGGTACATACCAAACAAAAACTGAAGGCCATCGAAATCAGTCGGAGAATTGCGAACGCGGATAGAGAGGTTAGCGAAGTCGTGGGAAGATTGGATTCAAGAGGACCCGAACGTAGCAATGGATCGGTAGATTCTGATGCTCCCACAGAAGAAGAGTTCATGCTATTGGAGGAAGACTTGAGTGACATTATCGCGGACGTACACGATTTGGCCAAATTCGTTCAGCTGAATTATACTGGATTTCAGAAGATCATCAAGAAACATGACGTAGGTTTGTTGATTATATACTTATCGCGCCCAACTAACGATTACCAGAAAACCACCAAGTGGATGCTAAAACCTGTGTTTGCGACAAGACTCAAGGCGAAACCTTTCTTCAAAGACAACTATGACGCCGACATCGTTAAGTTATCCAAATTGTATGACTTGGTCAGGACAAGAGGAAATCCAGTGCAAGGAGACAGCTCGGCAGGTGGAAGTCAAGCCAGTTTCATTCGACAAACAACTAAATACTGGGTGCACCCAGATAATATTACCGAGTTGAAGCTTATCATCTTGAAGGTAGAGTCAATCCAGCAAGTCCCCATATTTTTTGCTCATTCTTTCTATAGCATCTACCCGTTCTTGTTTTCAATGCCAGCAAGGAGTTCGAAGCGAAAGATTCTGCAATCACGTCGATTTACTACGACAATCCCGAGACTTGGGATCTATACGAGGGTCGACTCAAGAAAAGTGAGGGAGCCGAGGCAATCCGTCTTAGATGGTATGGCGACGTCGACAATGAACACATATTTGTGGAGAGAAAAACCCATCGTGAAGATTGGACGGGAGAGAAATCAGTGAAGGCAAGATTTGGAATCAAAGAAAAAAACGTCAATGCATACATGAAGGGAGAATTACTACCTGCTGCTATATTTGAGAAGGCTCGCAAGGAGGGCAAGAAACCATTGAAAGCCATCGAGGAGGACGAGAGACTTGCTAGGGAAGTTCAATACTCGGTTATCAAGAAGGGTTATGTACCTGTCTGTCGATCCTTCTATAATCGTACAGCCTTTCAATTGCCAGCCGACGCAAGAGTTCGTATCTCTTTAGATACTGAATTGACAATGGTTAGAGAAGATAACCTTGACGGAAGAAGACGCGCTGGCGATAATTGGCGAAGAATGGATATCGGTATCGATTTTCCATTCAGTCAGTTGCCTGCAGAAGATGTGGAAAGATTTCCCTACGCGGTTCTTGAGGTGAAGTTGCAAACTCAGGCTGGCCAAGAACCACCAGAATGGGTACGAGAACTCATTGCTAGTCATCTTGTCGAAGCTGTTCCCAAATTCTCAAAATTCATTCATGGCACCGCGACTCTCTTCCCAACTCGCATAAATCTTATACCATTCTGGATGCCACAAATGGATGTAGACATCCGAAAGCCAGTGACTCAGTCATTCGGTATCAAAAGACCAGGTCACTCAAATCCGAGTTCCACAAGTGACGATGACGACGATGATGATTCTGATGAAGAAGATTTTAACTTCAATCAAGCTAGTGCTGGGACCATTGCGGCTGCGTCCGACACCCTACGACGACGCAACCATGGAGCACCAGGAAATAGTCTTGATATCGAAGAAGAAATTGCTAGTATGCCATTGGTGGAAGAGGACTATATTTATGATACTGATGACGAAGAGGCCATCGACAATCGACCATTTGAGGAAGCCAGAAGAGTTGGCGGTCTAGCTTTTATTACAGAAGGCATGAAATATTATGCTAAAACTGCGGGACATCATCTATCTCGGAAAATCCATTCGCTAAGCCCTACTCCAAGAGATCCAATGGATAGTAATAATGCTACATTCTCAGCTCTTCGAAATGGGGGTGGTAAGATTGTGGCTAAGAAATTCAAGGCACCGCCTGGAAAAAAGATTCACGTACCTGTTCGCGTCGAACCAAAGGTGTATTTTGCTGCTGAGAGAACATTTTTGACATGGGTATGTATTTTATCAATTGCACCTTTTAGATGATCATGCAACCTTTTAACACATTTTTATAGCTCGAATTCTCAATCTACATTGGTACAATTGCAGCTACACTCGTCAACTTTGGAACAAAACCTACTGCGGTATCCTTCATTGCTGCAGGTTTCTTTTCCATAGTCGCGCTTATGAGTTTGGCCTACAGTGTAGGCATGTACTTGTATAGAAGTAATAGCATTAGGGAGAGGAGAAACATCAAGTATTATGATGCTTGGGGACCAAGTATTTTGTGCGCATCGCTCTTTGCGGCGGTGGTTGTCAATGCTTGGTTCCAGATGAGTGCTAAGGAATGATAAAATTGTTGACGTGAGTCGAAGAGAAGCGATTTGAGCAAGATGTGGAATTGAAGTGTACAAAAGGGTTTGTCTATATCAAAATTGATAGTAGTAAATTGACGATTGGGGGGAAGCGGTGATTGATGGGTTCAGGAGGAAGAAGAAGTAAAACGGCGCGTTTGAAAATTTGTATCTATATAGGCAATTGGCTTATCACATATATAGTTAATCTGTATAAACCAAGTTCCAAAAAATGGTAGTGGAAGGAGATGAATGAAGAGTGCGAGGTAGAACGTGAATGTTAAAGCGCCAATCTCTGGCTAATGTGAGGGCGCTATCACAGCAAGATATATTAAACTTCGCGCGAGTAAGATAATTGGTCAGAAATTTCATTTAGACGAAATTGATCGAAACAGGTCCAATTCTACTTATCTCCCGTGAATCAGTGGATCCTGGGATGGGAGTGGGAAAGTCCTCAGGGTGTAGTAGCACTTATTGTAGTATATAATTTTTGTGTGGTTGTAACTTGATTCTTGATCTTTGATTCTTTTATTTTGATGGGAATGGTGGAGTGGGAATGTATAGTGAGGAGTAAGAAGGGAGTGTGTTGGGTGGAAGGTGAGGGAGGTGATAAGGGTACTTTGAAGAATATTAGGTGTGTTTTGATGCGAGTGAGATGGATTTTATGAGGATTTGAAGATTGTTTTGGATGGGTTTTGGGGTTTGGTTCTGGCTGGGGTATCTGGCTGGATTATTTGAAATATTGAACTTCATTGGAAGGTCCATCTCGCAGTACAATTCTAAGAAGACAGCTTTCATACCTTACTTTACGAGCTTGCCCCCCTCCCCATTTCTCGCTAAAATTACATGTTCTTCTGACAATGCTATCCACATCTCCTCATCTTCAACGCATGCAATCTTGGATCTTGGTAAACCTACCATAAATCATCTGATATCCTCATATCCTACCACTTTGCTAATCTCGAGATATACCCCGATATGACTTTCAGACGCGCATCACGTGGTTACAACCCCGTCAGCGCCAAGCTCAAGATTGTCAGTTGTGTATCTGTGTATCTGCGGCTGAATGACCCCTCATCTCACTATACTATCCCCTCAAACTTCAATTCTTCTCTGCAAAATCTCCCTCAGAAAGAAGAAGCAAAAAACTCCAAAATGTTATGCGCAACCTGCAGTACAATCTTTTCCGGGAATCGTCCCCCTCTCATCTCCACCCCCTCATCAAATACAGACGATATAATTCGTCCTCTTCATTCTGATATCTCAGTCATGTGTGAGGGCGCGATAAATGGTTGTCAATTGTGTGATATCATCTGGAGACATTTTTTTAGAGATAAATCGCCAGAGGAGTATAGGGAGTTTCCGTTGTGGTTGAGGGGGGGTGCGGTGCATCTTGTGAGGAGTGGGTCGAGGTATAGGGTTAAGGGGGTGGGAGATGGAGGTGGTAGTGAGGAGAAAGGAGATGGGTACGGTGATGAGGGATTTGAAATTATGGTGGAGTTAAATACGCAGATGGATAGAGAGGTGCCGAGATGGAAAACTATTAACATGTCGGTTTTGAAGGGTATGTGAGGGAATTTTTGTATAGCTGTTAGTAAATTAACAATAAACAGCAGAAGAATGTCTCGCACCACTTCGAGAACTACCAAAACCGGATCTCAGTATCTTTTCTGATAATACATGGAAAACTATTCTTCAATGGGCAAATGATTGTATTGAAAACCATCCTAAATGTAACACCTCGACCGAAGAACCTCCATGGTATCCCACGCGCTTAATCGACATACAGTATCTCAGCGATCCAGACCCAGTAGCTCAACTCACAGCACTGATGTTCAACATATCCACTGGTCATTTTCTCGCAAATTGCAAATTAATAGAAACGAAAGATACTCCACCAGAAGATCCCTCCTATCTCACACTTAGCCATCGCTGGCCCGCTCAAGGAGGAATCAGCGCCCGACTCGAAACATCCAATATCGAAGAAATGAAAGATTTCATCTCCCACGATATCCTACCCCCCCGATTCCGCGAAGCGATTCTCGTTGCACGCTGTCTAAAGGTCCGTTACATCTGGATCGACTCCCTGTGCATCATCCAAGACAGCTCTGCAGACTGGAATCACGAAGCGCAAACCATGGGTGACGTATACGCGCATTCTCTGCTCAATCTCTGCGGAACCGCCGCACTCGATATATTAATCCCCTCGCGCAATCCAGAGATGATCCATCCCTGTATCGTGAAATCTACTTGGGACAACGCCCCAAATAATGAATTCATCATTACCGATTTCCAGTTCTGGAAAGATCGGATCTATAGTTCGCCATGTAATAAACGGGCGTGGATAACGCAGGAACGATGGCTTAGTCCACGGATCTTGCATTTTGCGTTTGATCAGATGGTGTGGGAATGTAGGACGCGTGAGGCTGCGGAGACGTTTCCGTTGGGGTTGCCGAAGCAAATAAGGATGAATAAACATACTGGGTTTAAAGTTTCTGGGAATGTTCGAGTTTTTGGAAATCAGCAGAATGGAAAAGAAGAAAATAATTATCTCCAAGACTGGTACCGCATCCTCGAAACCTACGCCCGCTCCGAAGTAACCTTCTCAAAAGACCGACTCGTCGCCCTCGCCGGCATCGCTCAAAAATTCTCCCTCCACCTCCAAGACACCTTCCTCTCCGGACTCTGGCAGAACCATCTCCCAGGTACTCTCCTTTGGAGCGTGCACAAAGGTCTGCGCACCAACCATCCCTTGCCCTCCCCCACCCCCACCCCCGCAGCCCACGACCTCGTCGGAAATACTCCCACATACCACATCACGGAATCGAGTCGCCTCGCCTCCTACGAAGCGCCTTCCTGGTCCTGGGCTTCTGTATCCGGGGACATCGATCCTGGATTTTCTATTGCTCTCTCCAGTAAAGATTCTATGATTGAGCTGCGCACTGCGCAAATAACACCACTCGATCCCGCTCTCCCTTTTGGAAGAATCTCCTCTGCGCATTTAGTTTTGCGCGGGGTGCTCTATCCCCTTTCTATGGATCCATCTGATTGGCCTGCCCATCTTCCGTCTTGGAATCGCGAACCGCCAACTATCTATATTTCTGGACAACCGAAGACGAAAGTCGAAATACTCGAGGGGAGTTTCGTGGAGAAATATAGTCATGTGGTGCATATACGAGTCGATCAACCAGAAGAGTATAGCGATATAGGTCGTGCGTGTTTTTTGCCGGTTGCAAGAGCGAAGTTTGAGAGAGAGGGGCATGAGATGGATGGATTGAAGTTGGTGTATGGATTGTGCGTTCTGAGTACGGGGAAACCGGGGGAATACAAGAGATTGGGAAGGGTGGATTTTAGTGGAGAGCAGTGCGATTTGTTTGAAATGGGAATTGAGAAGCTTAAGGAAGGAAGAGAGAATGAAGGGACCAAATTCGAGATGGGTGACAAGGATTTGTACTTGCCGGAAGAGATTGGTACTTTTAAGCTTGTTTAGCGATCACTAGATTCGCGGATTAAAGGCAAAGTTTTTAAAACAAATAGGAAATGAATGAACGAAGCGAAAGAATAACAATGAAGACTTTTCTCATTTTACATATCTTGCTATCTATCTATACACATATTTCAATCAAACTCTTACAGCTAGATGCATCATCCTTTCTCGGATTTTACTCTAACCGATACTTAAGCCTTCTTCCCCTTGATACTAACATTCAAGGTACCAATAGCCCAAACCGTAACGAATAAACTCAAAGTGGAGCAGAAAATAACAATAGGTTTGCGGAAACCTGCAAGGAAGGGGTAGGTATATGTAACAATGAGTTCACGATCGCGGAGATCATCAACCAAGTTATGAGAATGAAGTGTGAGTGTTGTACGGCCAATAGTATCCATGAAAGTCTTATGGAGAGTGATTGTAGAGGAGGCAACAGGGACGAGAGTGGAAAATTGGAAATTTCTATTGAATATGGGATTAGTTGCGTTGTTAAAAAAAAAAGGGCAGGATACATACTCGGCTCCTTCTGGAAGAATGACACGAAGTTCAACGAATTCATATTCAACTCCCTCGGCTTGTTTTGGACCTTCCAAAAATGGGACATTGAGAACATATTGCTCTCCGCTTAATTTTCTCAAGAATTTTTTGGCATCAGCATCCCAACCTACACGGAAAGGATAATTCCAACCTCCGAAGATTGGGTAACGAGGCTTGATCTCAAGATTCGCTTCACGTTTGTTGCTGCGGAAACGAGATGTAGAGACGTTGCCAATGACATCAGTGAAGTATGGTGTCAAACTTCCAACCTTCAATGGGAATTTGAGCTCCTTAATGGCAGAAGTGGGAGTGGTGGCATAGTATGCGGCTTGGTTCCAGAGAGTGCGAGAGAATGGTTGAGAAAGATTGGCAGCACGGTTGGTCAACGTATAACGTTCCTCGAAAGCAACATTTCCTCCCCAGTGGCTGACTTCAATATCACGCTCTAATCTAGAGACGTGAATGAGGGGTTTGGTGAACTCATATCGAACTCGGACTGGTTCCACTGCACCAGCTGGTACCTCTCCATAAGAACCGTATGTGTACTTGGAACCTTGCTTCTGTGGTGATTCGGATGCACCATCAGTTCCTGGAACAATGGTGTGCTCTGGAATATTGGTAGTTGGGAATTTAACCTCAGTCTTTTGTTTCGAAGTGACGTATGATGATTGAGCATATGCGGAGAATTCGTAAACGACGTATTGGTTCTCGTTTTGTGCAATTGAATTTGGAAGAGGGTTTAAAGCTGAAAGGTATGAGTATGAGATGCCAATTGTTTGTTGTGCTTTGGGTGCTAGGGGTTGTGGTAGCTTGATCAAGTAGAATTGAGTGTCACTTGTAAATAATTAGCCCACGATTCGAGTAACGGTCCAAACACGATTTACCTCTCTGTGTCCACCTCTACTGCACGAACTTCGAATAGTCCGGAATCGGCATCCTTTCTGTCCTTTACTTCCAAAGCTCCAATTGTTTCCATCTGCCTCGACGTGAATGGCAGATAGTATTCATCTTGAGGTTCATTCGCAATGTTCTCAATTACCACATTAATTGACTCTTTTGGGTAACTTTTTTCGAGATTGATATGATGGACCAGATTGGCATTTTTGAAGACCTGCGGAGGTTTGAAATTTGAGGGAAGAATTTGTTTCGAAGAAAGTGGTTTTGTCAAGTTACTCTTGTCTGCGCCGAAAGCTGTCGACACAAGAGAAAGGACCGCAGTCGCAACCGTGAATGACTTCATCTTGGAAGAGATACTGGAAGCCAGCCCAGAAGAGAAGAAATCGATTCACACTGCAAAATAAATTGAAATATGAGCAATTCTAAGATGTGGTGTTGTCAATATTTCCTATTCCTTCCCAAATAGCAGTCCCCCGGTAATATTGAAGCTTACGTTGCTCCAAAGTGTCCTGAACAATTAGACGCCGTTTCGCGATGTTCACTAGTTTCACACCTCTCCCTCACTCCCCACTTACCGCTTTTCATTTCTGAATTCACTTATCAATAATCGCGAGCGCGCTTAATTTATTCTTCTTATCGGCAAGTAGGCAGGCAATCATACATAGACCCGTGCTTATTAATCAGCTTGTCACTGGGCGAGCTGGACTGTTGAGCTGAAATTTGATCCACTATGATGAACTCACGGCGGGGAGTCGAGTGAAGTCCGAAGGAGACAACCCATTTATTTAGTTTCACCCAACACAAACTCAATCCTTTCTCTCAAGAAAACTTTTGTAAAATCATCAACAGCGACTTCTTTATTTTTCGGTTATTGTATTGCTTTATATCCTCAATTTCATACCTCGGATCCTAGAATCTCGGGATCTCTTCTTTTATACCCTTTATTTACAAATCTATCTTTGAAAATCCTTCAACATGGTGGGGTTAGGTCCACGAAAGCCTCCTTCCCGTAAGGGTATGTATAACTTCAACTTTCCCTTTGTCACCTCAGGATCTGTTTGATTTGGTTCGGTGGTTTGGCTTCCAAGAGAATCTCAAATTGTGATTCAAATTCACTTGTTGTTTGTGAATGAATAGGCTGTGCAGCTTGATACAGCTATTATGACACACCTTCCAATGCCTCCCATAAAGCATTGTCAGCTTGAAAGCAACCAGCTGTTGGCATTTCAAAGTCAAATCATTCCACTCAAGAACTTGAAGCTTTCAAATCTACGAAGTTTCTAGATAAATTATCTTCTGCAATATGTCGACAACTTCATCTCCTATTCTATCTTCAGCTCCTACTAAGGAGCTCGAAACACCATTACCAGGCAAAGGTTGATATCTCCTGATCTCTGTCTTTGTTTTTACTCTTGGCCTACTATTATTTCAGTCTAGTCTAGTCTATCCGACAAGTGTTCTGCTTAGATTGGACTAAAATTTTAGCGTGTGCTTTCTGAGCACCAGGGTCTCTCGGTTTTGATACTCGATGCAAAAAATACCGAGATCTGCCCGTGGGCAAAGCTTCTTTGAAGTCTTCAATAACGGGCTGATGCTATTCATGTCGCCCTTGTTTGTATATTTGCAGACAATATTTGCAGTCATGACTTATCTCCTGAGATGAACTGCAAATAGCAAAAATACTTATTGCACGGGTCCACCTTCCCATCAGAATTCATTTGCAATTACAATTTCATAGCCTTACAATAAACTGTAGATTTGCTAACTCATGACATCACATAGGCTCTATGGCCGATGTTCCAAAGAATTACTTGGAACAAATCAAGAAGCTTGAGCAACAGTTCACTGTTGACACCAAGAAACTCAAGGAGATCACTGAACACTTCGTCTCTGAGCTTACAAAAGGTATTTATTATGTCTTCCAACTGCGATGCGAGCGTTGTGCTAATGTTTAACCAGGTCTCACTGTAGAGGGTGGAAGTATCGTATGTTCTTCGGATCCGATGTATGAGTTATGACTAATTTTGTTTAGCCAATGAACCCAACTTGGTGCATGGCATTCCCAGATGGTTATGAAACCGGTACATTCCTCGCCTTGGATATGGGAGGTACCAATTTGCGTGTCTGTGAAATCATCTTGACTGATGAGAAATCCGAGTTTGATATCATTCAATCAAAATACCGCATGCCAGAAGAGCTCAAGACTGGTGACGCAGATGAACTTTGGGAATATGTCACCGATTGTCTTCAGCAGTTCATCGAATCCCATCATCAAGGTGAAAATCTTGAAACGTTGAGTCTCGGTTTCACCTTCTCCTACCCAGCTACCCAAAACTACATCGATGAGGGTATCTTACAAAGATGGACCAAGGGATTCGATATTGCAGGTGTCGAAGGTGAAAATGTCGTTCCAATGTTTGAGGCAGCTCTTGCTAAGAGAGTAAGTTACTTGGTGGCATTAAGGAGATGACGCTTGCTAAAAATTTATCAGGGCGTTCCAATTAAGCTTACAGCTTTGATCAATGATACCACTGGTACCTTGATTGCTTCCGCATATACTGACACAGCCATGAAGATTGGTTGTATCTTCGGAACTGGTTGCAACGCTGCTTACATGGAAAACTGTGGCTCTATTCCAAAATTGGCACACATGAACTTACCTCCTGATACTCCAATGGCAATCAACTGCGAGTGGGGTGCTTTCGACAATGAACACAAAGTTCTCCCCCGTACTCCATACGATATCATTATTGACAAAGATTCTCCACGTCCTGGTCAGCAAGCATTTGAGAAGATGATTGCTGGTCTTTACCTTGGAGAACTTTTCAGATTGGTTCTCGTTGATCTTCATGACAACAAAGATATCCACATGTTTGAAGGTCAAAATATTGAAAAACTCCGAAAGGCTTATACCTTGGACTCTTCATTCTTGTCTTTGGTTGAGGAGTATGTTCCTATATTTCCATATCTTTTAATGGTTAATTGATTAACATTTGTCTAGGGACCCATGGGAGAACTTGTCAGAGACTGCTGATCTTTTCCAAAACAAGCTCAGCATTAGAGCCACTGTTCCAGAACTCGAGCTCATCCGTCGCCTTGCCGAGTTGATTGGTACCCGTGCCGCTCGTCTCTCCGCATGTGGTGTTGCCGCCATTGCCAAGAAGAAGAACTACGAGACTTGCCATGTCGGAGCTGATGGATCCGTCTTCAACAAATACCCCCACTTCAAGGCTCGTGGTGCTGCCGCACTCCGTGAAATTCTTGATTGGCCCGCTAAGAAGAACGCTAAGGAGGCTGATCCTATTGAAATCTTGGCTGCTGAGGATGGATCTGGTGTCGGTGCAGCTTTGATTGCTGCTTTGACCCTCAAGCGTGTTCAGGCAGGTAACATGGCTGGTATCTTGCACCCAGAGAACTTCAAATAAATGAGCACGCCAGTTCTTGTACCGAAGTCTCCAGGTTGGAAGGTGATATGAAATGATGCGAACATGAATACTATGGAAGTTATGGTCAATGTTTCGGGAGGATGATTCTATTGCATAGGAATGCGTGTGTAGACGGATGATTTGCATGGCTTTTTTGCTTTTCCACGTTTTTCACATGGCATTGATGTTTTTAGCAAATGATAGCTTTTACAAAATCACATACAACGAACGATTTATGTGCAATCTATTTATCAGTTGAAACTTGTTTCCTATAATCTTGTTTATCATGTATGCCCCTTTTACCCTAAAAGTCAACACCCTAAAACTCTAAAATTCCAAGAAATCTGTGTACAGAACAACATTATCAATCACGTCATAAAATATACCTAAAATGCGGCCCATCATTTTCTTTCCCCCCATTTGAATCCTTCAAACTCCCATTCTCATTACCATTACCATTTTCGTCTCCATTTCTGTTTTCATTATCGCCACTGACGCCGTACTTTTCTACCAATTTTCGATTTTCATACGCAAGTCGGAAACGTAAGGCCATTGCTAAAGCGCCGTTGAAGAGCATGAAAGCCGCGCAAACCCACTGTTAAAAAGATGACAATTAGTATATTTTTCCCAAACACTCTCGCTCCGATATCGAAGAATTTTTTGAAAGCAGAGATGGAGAAGAAAATTGTGGAAAGAGTCAAAAAACAAACATACCATTCCTTTCTTATAATAAGGTCCTTCACTACTGGGATACAATCTCGTTCCCAAAAGCGGACCACATTGACCCACCACATTGAGAATCGCAATTCCCGTGCCTCGTTTGCTCTCACTCCCTTGGTTGTTCATTACCCAGGGAAGAATATTTCCAATGGCGGGGAAAATGCCCGATGCGGCTAGGAATACTCCGGTATAGCGAACTCCTGTGCTGGTTGATACGGCGAGCATTATGTATCCTGTTGCTCCTATGAGAGATAGGATAAGGATAGTGTATCCGCGTTGCGAGTACTTGTCTGCAAGCCATGTTGTAAGAATCACAACTAGGAATGCGAGGAAATAAGGCGGGGCTGAAAGTCCTTGCGCAGTGACGCTTGAGAAACCCATTGCGGCAAGAATTGTCGGTAGGAATACTGGGAGAGATGCAAATGATACGTTGCAGGAGAAATACATCAATGCTGTGGTCCAATTTTTGATATCGAGGAATGCGGCACGTACTTCGTGCCACTGGATTCCGTGTGGTCGATTGGAATCCGTGGTACCTATCTGTCGAACTTTGCGTGCTTTTGCGATGAGTACTTCCTCTTTGGACAAAAATTTGGCCTTTTCAGGACTATCGGGCATGAGGAACCAGGTAAGAACACCAGCAAGAATAGCTGGCAAGCCTTCGACGAGGAAAAGCAAACGCCAGGCCGCAATACTTTCGGAATGCCCAGAAGTAATACCATAAGCTAGAGCACCTGCAAAACATGTTGCCAAAGGAGCTGCCCCAAGGTAAAATCCACATCGAAGTCCGAGTTCATTTCTTAGATAGAAGAAAGATAACAGGAACGTGATGCCTGGTGCAAAGGAAGCCTCGAAAGCTCCTAGGAAAAATCTAGCAGCCATCATTCCAGACCAATTGTACGCAACAGTTTGCAATGTTGCTGATAATGCCCATCCCAATACTGTTATGGCGCCCCACATATGCGGTGGTATAATTTTCCACATCAACACCAATGGCTCGAATACAATGTATGATATGTAGAATATAGTGAGGAGCCATTCGTAGCTGTCAGAATCGAGATGCAAGTCATCCATCATACCAGCAATTTTCGCATTTCCAATGTTCGAACGATCAAGATATGCAAGGAGATCTTTCGAAGATGATTAGTTGGATTGACTCCATCAGAGTTCTAGGAAAAACGTACAGAGCCCAATGATC